TGATTAGCTTTTAGCTCCCTGACATGTAAACAATGTATTACTACAACTTGATCATTTCAGCATTATCTAAAATTATAAAAGGTAAATGAAAAAAGTAAATAAAAATAATAAAATCAATATTTTTGCAGTGAGAAACTTATATTACATTTACATTAAAATACCATTTCAGTTTATTCTTTTTTTCCACACGTCAAAATTAATTCATTATAGACACTTAAAATAATTTAATTTACCTTGATCTTTTTTTTCTACTTCAAATGTATAATTGAAAAAAATGCTTAACTTAAAATTCCCTCATATTGCTGATTTATTTGTTTTATCAAGACCTACTTTGATTCAAAATTAGAAAAAAAAATCGCAGGGTAAGATATATAATATATATATATATAAATATATATATATATATATATATATAAATGAAGAGGAAAAAATGTAAACAAGCTAGTATTTACTTACTATTAATCATATTTATATTATCACTATATTTTATATAAAATATTTTACCAATAGTATATAAATATATATATAAATAAGTCTCTCTCTATAAATTTATGCTAAATATATAAATATAAATTATAATATATAACTATATAAACACAAAAACTTCATTTTACACTAATAGTTTATGTAAAAACCATGTTGAAAACGTATTCAATGTACTAATAACATTGTTTGCACCTAAACTGTTCACTTGACTTGAGTTTCTTGTTGAGACCAGAACAATAAGAGTGATACCAACCATTACAATGATCGCATTGAATCCAAGGAACTGTTTTAGTTCTTTTTTTAGGAGGATCAACAAAGCCACATTCCTTGCAATTGTCATTTTGTTGAAATTGGCCTACATTACTTCTATTGTACTATTTTGCAGAGATTCTGAGATCTTTGGCATTAAAGATGATGGCTTAGTTGTTTTATTACCAAACATTTTAAATGCTCGCTGTTTGGTCGCAGCTGGCCTGCCACGGACCTTTGGTATTCTGGCAAAAAATAACTCTTCTGTAAAAGGTTTCTCAAAAGAACACTGCTCATTAGATTGAGTTATTGAAACAATTCATGAGAAAGTGACGTTAGGTATGCAATACTTGCATACCTAACGTCACTTTCTCATAACACCATAAGTCACTTTCTGAAACTCATAATACTATTTTTCTGCGACTCACAGAAATATAACATTTAATGTCATTTTATGTCAGAAATAAAACATAATTCACTTTTTTCAAAAAACACTTACTTTCTTATTATAAGACACAACTGTTACACTATTTCTTTGACGCAGAGGATGCCAATGAGCTTTTGCAAACTGTGCAATAAATTCTTGTGCTTCAGCTGCTGTTTGGAAGCATTGTCCCTTATGTAACTTCATTTTCTTTTTTTAATTTTAAAATGTTGATGATAAGTTTTAAATTTGTGTTTCACCGAGTTTTGCCTCGTTTTAAGACGCTTGCATCATCCTTATAAATTACCGCCACTCTAGCAAATTTCTCACCTTCAAGTGGCGGTATTTACCGCCGCAATAGATTTATTCTTCATTTATAATAAAATGATTTATTTAATAAAGATTATTAAATAAATCAAACATTTGAAATGCCCATACAGCAATAAAAATAAAAAAATAACTTAAAGATCTTACAAAAAATAATTTGATTATTGCCTTTATTATTACATTAATAATTTAGATTGTAGTAAAAAATGTTTTAAGCATATTATTTATATGTTAACAAATATTTCATTATTTAAAAAAAAAACAATAAGTCACAAGAATCTCTCATAATTTATTTCTTATAAGGAACCTTTTAAGATTCTTAGAAGATTAACAAATATAGCTTCTTTTTTTTTATTTTATAATCTAAAAAAATGGATAGATAATATCAAAACCTTTTTTTTATTCTGTCAAACAATACCATTTTTAAAAATGTTTCGCAACAAAAGTATATTCGTTACTGCCAGTACTATTTCGAAGTACAGTAAAAATAACCTTCATTCTTTTTTAAAATAGAAGATATCTCAACTATTCTCCTTAGGAACAAAGTTAATCTTTTTATCAGGCTGCTGAAAAATTAAACTTGTTACTCACTGATAATTAATCAAATACAGGAAACAAAGAATAAAAAATCCTTTACAAACGAAGTATTTGATGCATGCAAAACACTTGATTTAAATTTCATACAGTGCATGTTAAATGGTAAAAAAATTAAATTGACGCAACCCATCGTAGAGCTACAAACTAATATTATGCTAATATTGAAAGAAACGTTCCAGTTTTGGAATTTGAAAGAAAAGAGAGAGGCGTTTAAAATCTTGATGAAGGAGAATGTTCCTAGAACTCTGTCCAATAATATGTGAAAAACAAACCGGCTGTTTATAAGCATTTATTGCTAACAGCTACAAGAGCCGTGTTGTTTTAGCTTATTTTTAATTTATTGTTTGACTATTTAAATATTATTTTACCTTTAATTTATTACCGGGTGATAAAGAGAAAATATAATGATAATATACTAATCCGCAACTACATTGGTCAAATATTAGCTACGGAAAAAATGTGAGAACAGCAAAATATTAAGTCAAAACTACATTGGCCAAATTGTTGGCACATAATTGCAAAAAACCGATTTGTAGAATTGCAATATTACGCCGAAAAAAAAACATTGGCTAAATGTTAGCCCAATATAGTACGATATTTGCAAAAAACCGATTTGCAGAATTGAAAATAATACGCCGAAAAAAAACATTGGCTAAATGTTGGCCCAACGAAATAAATTTGCCAATATTAAAACTTACGTTGGGCCAATGTAAGCTTGCTGTCTGGGATAGGACCAACACTGTCTGAAAAAATTCCTAAGACCAAATCTTTGTTAACTGACTATCTAGAACCCCTGGATAATTACATTTGTTCAGATGAGTTATCTTCCGAATTAATGTTTGATGAGTTTGAAAGAGCCTTTAAATCTGTTTAAAAAAATAAAGCAATTGGAGAAGATCAAATTAATGGAAACGTGGTTTAAGATTGCTTTGAACAACGTAAAGTTGTTCTTTTTAAAATCTTTAGGGCTTCTATCCATCAAGGAGTATTCCCAGAACAATTAAAAATTGCAAAAATTATTCCTATTTTTAAAGAAGGGGACAAATCTGAAATCAGTAATTATCACCGTATCTCTGTGCTCTCGATATATTCGAAAATTTTAGAAAAAATTATGTTTAACAGAATATATAAATATTTTCATGATAATAACCTACTTTGCATCAATCAATTTTCTTTCAAGAAAAACAACTTAACTGAACATGCAATTATCCAATTTGTACATGAAATCTCAAAATCATTTGAAAGATCAAAATATACACTAGGAATTTCTATTGATCTATCAAAAGCTTTTGATACGGTCGACCATCATATTTTAATTAAACTCAAATACTACGGAATAAAAAATAAAATTTTTAAATGGTTTAAAAGTTATCTATCTAACCGAAAGCAATTTGTACCATTTAACAATGATTACAAACCCTCTTTTTTATTTTATTTTATTTTTTTTAATTTATTATTTATTTTGCCGTTTAATATTACAATAACTAAATATATTTTACAATTTTTTACATTAGTAACGACAGGACTTCTAGAAGATCATGAGGATCTTGTCATGAAGTCCTTTACAATATATGGTTAACTTTTAATAAAAATACAATGTCTGTAGTGAAATAATAATACACCTCTATGCAAAAATATTTAAAAACCAAGATAAAATGTTAAAAAGTCAAGATAAAATTTTAAACCAAATAATATACAAAATAAAACAACAACAAAAACAAAACAAAAAAAAAGGCAATTAAAAAATAAATCAAGATATTTTTAATTAAAATATAATTTTTTTAAGTTTCTGTTTGAATGAAGCAAAAGTCATTTGGGTTGAAAAATCAAAATTTGGTAAGACTATTTTGTTCCAGCTACACTTCCAAATAAACTAAAAGATTTTTTAAAAAAATTTTAAAAGCTTTTATATCGTTAATTTAAATTCCAAGTATTGGTTGTTTAAAAACAAAGAATTATTTATTTCAATTAATAATATTCTATTTTTATAAAAAAGACTGATGAAAAAGACTGATGGAATAGACACAGTAAGGCTGATCAGCGATGACACTTAGCGCTGATAGGTTAACGATTTGAGGAGGATTGAGTTTTGATAATAAAACTTAAAAAAAGTGACTTCCGCGTCTTTAAACGAAATATTACTTTGATTTTGGCGCCTATATTTGGTTTATTTATTAGATTTTTGTATTATTTATTAGAATTTTAGACTTAAAAATACTTTTTCTTTACCTTTAACAATAACTACTACACTGAGGATAGCCCATATAAATTCCTAATAGTCTAACCCGAGTGACTTAACCTAAGAAAAATGATTGCTCGCGTAACCTTTCTTTCATTACTTACCTTCCTTTTAAGAACCATCACGATTTAACATCAAAAAGGACATTGAGGAGAAGGGTTCGAAGACGACAAAATATTCAAGAGAGAAATGGAGCTAAGCGGAACTTAGAGGCATCTATAGATAGTGAGGGAACATTAGAAAAGGAGCAGAAAGTGGTCGAAGAACCACCAGTAAAAATAAATAAAGAAGATACTGAAAAAGTGAAAAATACATTAAGGTTCTTGGCCGATAATTTAGACGTTTTCACGAACAATATAATTGTAAAGTAATGTACATTTAAATGATAAATATATATCTAAAAACATTAGTAACATAATTTCGAATCACCACCTATTGTAATACCAATGATTTCTTACCCCTATAACCCTTATCCCAACCGGAACACGTGACTTTATCCAGAATCTACATGTAACCCAAACCCTAACTATCAATAATTATCACAACAATTATCATAAATATATTAAACATCTAAATCCCCCTTAGAACAACTGCTCTAAATATACCCACTAAGACATTGAATTACAGAGACAGCCAGTTTCAATACTTGTCTCTAAAATAAAACCGATGACAATAACAAAAAATAATTCCCGCGGAAAACGATAGAAAAACTCACCTTGAGAATTACCTAACTCTTTTCGCGGAGACTAAAGAAGCTCTGACACGTAAATAGAACAATAGACCATTGAAAACTTACAACGATAGAACAATGGAATTTCTAAAAACAGAAGTTTTACATTTTTATGTGCACACGTTTCGTTCGTATCAGATATCTGCTAACAAGCGAAGAAAAAGCAACTTTGGCGTTCAGAAATATATTTTTTCACGTTTGTTTAATAAAAAAATCCACATTAACGATAACACGAACGATGGCATCGAATAATTACATAAATATATACCCTACTACAACACCCAGCAACACGGTAAGAAAAACATTCCCTTTATCACATTTACGTACTTAATAAGTCATACCATCACCACCCCACTATAATTTAGCGTTTACTTGAACATCACACGCCACTACAATTCACCATTGAAAGCACCCCATACTATTCTTACACATTATGCATACTTGGAATTTATTATAGAGTCCAAACACACCGGAAGACATATTCCTTACACAAGACGTGTTCCGAAATCAAGAAGTTCTCGTGACCGTAGATAATTTAGAATTAGAAATACTAAGGCACAGTACCACCTTAGAACCCGAAGACAAAAAAGAAGGAGACACAACACAAAAAGACGAAGAACTAAGTGACAGCCAAAAGCTAGAAACGGTAGGTTTAGTTCAAACCTTTACACCAAAAACATCTTAAAAACTATTAATTATCCCCTCATACCTAACCCCCTAGGGTCCGACTCCGTTATCTGAAAATTGTTGTGTTTATATATGTATGTACTTTGTTTGTATATATCATTTGTGCGTGTTTGCATGCTTATATGCATGCATCTGTATATGCGGACATGTGGGGATGTATGTGTTTGCATGCATATATGCACACCCTACCCTGTTACCCTCTTAGTATGTATAGACCTCTGTTTTATACATGGTAGTGTTCATACAGATATATTTGTATGTGCAAATACATGTGCACATACATTTATATTTGGATTCATACTCTTGCACCCAACCACCTTTATTTCACTCTATTTCACTCCGTTACCTGATTTATCTGTTTTATGCATAGTGGTACTCACACAAGTATATGTGTACTTGCGTGTGCATGTGTTTGCGTGTTTGTATGCGCATATGCGTGTGCATGTATGTGGACGTGTGTTTATGCATTAGGTGTGTATACATGTATATGTAGAATTGTGTTCTTATATGAGTGGATGCGGGTGTGCATACTTCTATTCCTAAACCAGCTCTCCCGTACCCAACCCCCTCTAAATCAACTCTCACAGTATTATATAATTGCGTGAGAACATATTATAATGATCTACACTATTCTGTATGACCTTATAATGCTCGATACGCACACCAGATGAAATGGGAGACTCCTCGGGTATGAGTTCATCACATATCTAAACCTCACGTGGTAACTAAGCTGTAGGCCATGGAGTTGTTTTAGTACTTTAACTTCTTCGAAACAAGCATAGACATTCCGACATGGCCCTGACGAGATGAAGGTTTGTCATATGCCACAACTTTCGACCATTATGATGACCTCAACCCCGAACTCCACTCGCGCAGCACCTTCCCCTCAACTTGTTTTACTTTTATATTACAATAATTTGTACTACTAATTTACTACTAATTTATTACCTCCAATTTACGATGGTAATCACTAAAGCTTTATAGCATACATACTATGCATATCGGATATATTATACACGATATATATAATATTCTAGATATACATAAGTCTCTCTATAAATAATATAAGAAACTTTTTACGTCATTTTTCATTTGAAATTTTTTAAAAATTCTTTTAGTTTATTTGAATGTGCAGCTGGTGTTAAATATTTATGTGTTTGGGCTGCTCATTGTTTTAGCTGGATCTTGAAAGTTAAGATAAAAACATCGAGAGAGGGTTGCCACATCAGCCAACGAAGGGTCAGTCGGAGAACCGACCTCCTCAAATCGTTAACTTATTGGCAACCAGGCTTCTATGCTGATACCTCAACGATGCAGGATCACCGTTAAATTTCAAGAATATCAAGAGACTAGACCTGTGAGATGGAGAGCAACGAAGAAGGGTCACTGAATCAGCTAGCGAAGGGCCAGTCAGAAATCCGACCTCCTCAAATCGCTAACCTACCAGCGACAAGTGTTATTGCTGATCAACCTCACTTTGTCTGCTCAATCAGCCTTTTTTATAAAAATAGAATATTATCAAATGAAAAAGATAATTCTTTGTTTTTAAATAACCAATATTTGGAATTTATATTAACAATATAAACGCTTTTTAAATTAACAACATATACTATTTTTAAACTTGTTAATAATTAGTTAGCAGCATAAAAATATTTTTAAGCGATAAAAGTTAGAAATGCGCGAAGCATTTTTGCAATTAAATTTTGTTATTGAGTTTATATTTGCATTAATTTTAATAGTGATGTTGCTTTTTTACAAAGAGTTTATAAGTGATATATCTTTTTTAACTTATAAACTTTTTAAGTCATTTTTCATCTAAAATTTTTTTAAAAATTCTTATAGTTTATTTGGAAGTGTAGCTGGTGTTAAATATTGATGTGTTTGGGCTGCTCATTGTTTTGGCTGGATTTTAAAAGTGTAGCTGGTGTTAAATATTTATGTGTTTGGGCTGCTCATTGTTTTGGCTGGATTTTATAAGTTAGGATAAAAACATCGAGAGAGGGTCGCCACATCAGCCAACGAAGGGTCAGTCGGAGAACCGACCTCCTCAAATCGTTAACTTATTGGCAACTAGGTCTCTTTGCAGATAACCCAACCATGCAGGACCGTCGTTATATCTCAAGAATATCATGAAACTAGACTTTTGAGGTGGAGGGCAACGAAGAAGGGTCACTGAATCAGCTAGCGAAGGGCCAGTCAGAAATCCGACCTCCTCAAATCGTTAACCTATCAGCGACAATTGTTATTGCCGATCAACCCTACTCTGTCTGTTCCATTATTCTTTTTTATAAAAATAGAATTATATTAATATAAATAAGTAATTCTTTGTTCTTAAATAACCAATACTTGGAATTTACATTAACAATATATACGCTGCTATTGTTTCGCAGTGGAAGCTATTAAAGTTCCACCACTGATATGGAACCATCAGGCCGTAAGAGTCTTAAGAGAAGAAAGAAATATATTATATAAGTGCAAGGGAGTGCTAGATAAATTATAATATTTGGACAGATGTCCAGTATTAAGAGGTGGTGTTAAAGAGGGGAGTATTATTCACTAGTTAAGTTAGAGTTAAGTAAGTGTTCTTTAAGTTAGGTTTAAGTAAGTGTTGTTTCAGTGTTCTGTAAGTTTGTGTTAATTACTGTGCTTTGTGTTTGTAGTGTTCTAAATGTTCAAGTTTAATATGTGAATTAATGTCTTTCTTTGTATGAATCTGTATTTTCGTAAATATTTTGATTTTCCGTCTTATTTAATTTTGATGTTATTATGTTCTTTGTGATCGTAATCTTTGTTAAAAGTATTTTATAAGATATGTTTTAACATATGTTCATAGAATATATGAGAGTGTGGAGTTTGTTGCTATTTTTGTAAGAACTATGTGCGGAGTGCAGTACAATTATAGCAACACAGTTTGGCTCAGTGCTGTTGGTTCGGGGCAGTATGATGCTTGTTAAGTAAACCAATAAGTTTCTTATATTATTTATAGAGAGACTTATGTATATCTAGAATATTATATATATCGTGTATAATATATCCGATATGCATAGTATGTATGCTATAAAGCTTTAGTGATTACCATCGTAAATTGGAGGTAATAAATTAGTAGTAAATTAGTAGTACAAATTATTGTAATATAAAAGTAAAACAAGTTGAGGGGAAAGTGCTGCGCGAGTGGAGTTCGGGGTTGAGGTCATCATAATGGTCGAAAGTTGTGGCATGTGACAAACCTTCATCTTGTCAGGGCCATGTCGGAATGTCTATGCTTGTTTCGAAGAAGTTAAAGTACTAAAACAACTCTATGGCCAAAGTTATCCTAACTAAAGTTTAGGATAATTTGACGCAAAATTTAAATCTCTTAACAAAAGCCACTAAACCAAAAAAAATAAATATAATTGCCTAAAAATTTTATTATGGGGAAAATGTTTATTTTAATGAACATAGTAATTGTAGTTCAAAGTTTTATTATAGGACTTAAAAATTTTATTATAGTGCGTTGGTTTTTGCAAAGAAAACTTATATAAATCATTTTTTAGTTTTAATATAAACTAATTTTTTTTAAACTTTGTTGCGCCTAAACATCCCTATATAAACAATGTATATATATATATATATATATATATATATATATATATATATATATATATATATATATATATATATATATATATATATGTATATATATGTATATATATATATATATATATATATATATATATATATATATATATATATATATATATATATATATATATATATATATATATATAAACAAATATGTTATTTGTTTATAAATATATTGTGTATAAAATGAAAAAAATCCACTTATATATTGTGTTATTCAGAATCGTGTGTAATATATGTAAACTTTTTTAATAATTACAAGTTTGTTTTGCTCAAACTGCTTTGTTTTGATTTTTCTTAGGTATGTTATTAAATTTGAAAAAATTGACAAGATTGAAAAAAACGAAACATATTGACATCCAAGTGGAGAATTTGAAATATCAACTTTAGATTTGCCCTTCTCTTTATAATTTCTGGTTGCTAAAATAACGTTATCTGCTTCTTAGACCATTAAAAATGATAGACGCGGTTTTTTAAAGCCACAATTTTTTGGCGTATGTGACGTCACTTTGTGGCAAAAAATACTTAAATTATTTCTTCTTCTATTAAAGATATATGGAATATATTTTTATGTAATATATTCTAATAAAGACAAAAACTATTTATTTATTACTTATTATTTATTTAAAATTAATCAAAATATGTAAGATAAATGAAAAAGGAAACTTGATGCATAAAGGTTTATTTGGCCACAAACTGACGTCAATGCGCAATTTTTTTTGGTTAGATTACTTTTAGATTAGCGTTTAATATTATTGTTTAGTTTTTAATCATATTCATAAGAATGACCTTTATTTTTATGACTATGCTTTAGTGGTCTAAGGTCTTCTTAGTTCCATTTGTATAGCGTTAAGAGTAAACGTCTTTAGCATATGTTGAGTTTGCATGTGTTCTCAGCTAGTATATAATAATATTGATAAAATGCTATATGTAAAAAGCAAGAAAGAAAGTTAAGTTTGTTTTTTTATCAGTAATTGTATCCTAAAAATGAACTATTAATTTTTAAGTACTTTAAGAAACTTGAATAATTTAAATTCCAAAATTGCATTATCCCCATAAAGTTTTAAAATAGAATTTAATGATTTTGTGACAATATTTGCATAACGTTGTCTCTTGTAAGGATATTTTAGTTTATTCAGGCCAGTTTCACCAGTCTTCTTTTCCTCTCTTTTACTACAATTCAAAAAATAAATAGGTTTATTTAGCCGATATTAATACATATATTGATCAAATGGCCACACTCTTCTTGTCATTTCAATAATACAAGTCAACTCAAACTGAGCGGCAATTTTTTTCAAAGCATCCTTATTTGACATAAGTTTAAACATGTAATTGTTTGGAGCTTGCTTCGTGTTAGCTATCTCAAAGACCATAAAATGCTGGATTTGCCTCTGATCTATACAGATTTTTACCCTATCAATCTATTACTGACTTGTTAACCGTTGTAATAAAAATAGGTCCTGTCTCACATTAGATAAAATCTAACTTGTATTAACAATTTTCTTCGTCTGATTTTGTTTTCTATCTCTATAAATATTATATTTGTCCTGGTATTGAAAACTGTTTTCATATTTTTTAATTAATTTTCTGTTAACTCCAAACGTAATTAGTGTTTGATTACAGCCTTGTAAGAGTTAAATTTTATTTTTTTATTTCAACAAGAAAATTGACTAAATAGAAGGTAAAGCATTTTTATTTTGTAATTTATTAAAAAACACATCCAGTATTTTTTAATAAATTACTTTTTATTAATTAATTTAAATTATTTTAAATTAAATTAAAATATTTTAATAAATTAATAAATAATATTTATATACAAAAAAAAAAAAAAAATAAAAAAAAAAAGATAAAATAACACAACTACTGTTTCCTAAAGTCCCAAAACAAAGTTTTTCCCTGTATAAAAAAAGGTTCTATAAATTAATACCAGACAACCACCACTAAATATGGAAGGTGAATGTAAAACTCATGGTTAATGTTTTGATTACATCCAAATATATAAAATAAACTAATTAGTTCAAATAACTAATTAGTTATTTGAAGTACAGCAACAAAGAAGTAAAAAACATCTTACTATCAAATAATTTCATTTCAAAATTTTGATAAATAGGAAAAAATATTGAAAACCTTTATCTCTATTATTATTTTCCATTTTTCAATGAAAATTTATTATTATTATTTTATCTAAATCAAATTTAAAAAATGTTAAATTAACCCCTCTGTCTCCCACGACCATTTCGGGATTATTGGAGCCGCTAATAACAATAGTCCATCATTTGTAAGAAGGGCAAAAACTGAAGCCGAAGTGTGGAATAAAAGTTAAAATTGCAAGTCAAAAGTTCCCAATAAATTAAAGATAATTCAAAAACAAAATTTAATAATTATAAAATACTTAAAAAAGTTTTTTATGAGCCTATGTTTATTAAAAAGTATTTTAATTCATAAAAATGCTTCAAAAGCGTCTGTCGTTTTACTTTTCTATTTATTACTTATTTGTTACTTTCTAACTTTAATCCCTTTTTAATCGAAAATAAATTAAGGAATCATAAATTATTATTTTACAAGTACTATAATTTCCGCTTAACACTTTTACATAAATAGTATTTGAAAAAAGAAAAGTTAAAAATATTTGCTTACAAATTTAATCTGCCATTTGTAAAAAGGGCAAAAAGCGGCTTTACTTTTCGGATTGAAGATAGACATCTAATTATATAACATATGTGCGGCCGTTGCGCAGTGATTACAGCGCTTGCTTTATAAGCAGGAGATCCAGGCTCGAAACGAGCTCTAGACATATTTTCGCGTCACGGTAAGGAAGGAGGCGTGAACTTCCTGGTTAAATGCACATCCGTGGTGATAAGAGCGTTAGGCATACTTAGGGCACCTAAATAACAAAAAAAAAAAAAAAAAAAAAAAAACCCATTGGTAAATTATCAATATAAATTTGTTATATAATTCTCGGACGTCCTACCCAATTTTGTAGCGAAAACATTATATGTATTTTATTCTAAATGGTTGTGTAATAATTGGGTCTCAGCAAGACTAGCTTAGTGTTACAAAGTTGTTTTAATATTAACTCATTAGATTTTGTAAACTAAATTCATATTTTTATAAATTAAAACATGAAAAATATTGATATTTATTCATATATAATTCAAGAAAACTTGAACTTAGCTAATTCTAATATTTTGGATGCAGTTGCAAATGCATAAACTTAACTGCAAAAAATAGCCAGTCTAATTTCATAAAGCATCTTTGACTAAATGACAGATGCAAAAACTCTATAATTCGTTTTGAAGAGAATAACAAACAATGGCTACACAATGAACCAATATAAGTCCATTTTGTAAATAATAGTAAAGAAGTTCTACTAACTGCTTCCCTCGATAAATAATAGTAAAGAAGTTCTACTAACTGCTTCCCTCGATAAATAATAGTAAAGAAGTTCTACTAACTGCTTCCCTCGATAAATAATAGTAAAGAAGTTCTACTAACTGCTTCCCTCGATAAATAATAGTAAAGAAGTTCTACTAACTGCTTCCCTCGATAAATAATAGTAAAGAAGTTCTACTGACTGCTTCCCTCGATAAACGCTGCTCTTATCCAACTATAGTATCTGCTCTTATTCAACCGTAGTATCTGGCACACCTCAACCGTAGTATCTGGCACACCTCAACCGTAGTATCTGGCACACCTCAACCGTAGTATCTGGCACACTTCAACCGTAGTATCTGGCACACCTCAACCGTAGTATCTGGCACACCTCAACCGTAGTATCTGGCACACCTCAACCGTAGTATCTGGCACACCTCAACCGTAGTATCTGGCACACCTCAAATGAATTTTGATACTTTAAGTAGAAAAACAAAGAAAAGAAGATTGACGTCATTAATTGCATCATATTCATCTTATGAAGTTTGCATTAGGCTGTAGCTTGCGCCAAGAAGGTAAAAAAAGAAGTTAAAGCTTGTTCTGATAATTGTTTTACAAGTATTTTAAATCAAAAGTTTTATATTATTATATACACAAGATTTAGGTTCCTTTTTATATGAATTGTGTAGCAGTTTCGTGAAATATAAAATGGAGCCCTCAAACTGGATAAAAATACTTAAAATTAGTAATTGGGAATGTGCTAGATTTTTTAAATGCATAAAGTATTTTACTAATCATGCTGCCACAATGAAGCTTTAAGAAAAATTACTTAAACTAGCAGCTATGCAAAATGAACCGTTGCCAGGCATTTCGGGTGTCACTATCAAACAAATAAAAAATCCATAGTACCACAACATTTGTTGCGTAAAATTACTCACTGTGGTAATAATGGGAATAATCCAATGAACTTATTACTTTTTCCAGTTTATATTTGTTAAGGTTAATAAAATATGTAGTTGCTAAGCATTTTAGGTATCCCTAGCAACCTAAAGTTAAAACTAATGTCTCAATCAAAACCGCAATTCTCAAATTAGTAAACGGTGCAAAAATGGTTCTTAAATCTTTTTTATTTGATGAGTTATTAGTTTTCTCCAGTAAAAGTGAACTCTGCCCCACTGTGCCATGGTAAACTTTTACGTTTTATTTTGTGGAAGTTTAATGCATCTTTGAAAACGCATTAAACAATTATAATAAATAAAATTATTATATTTGTTTAATAATAATCATATTCAGTGACGGATTCAGGTGGATGGGGGTTATCCTTAGGAATAAGGATAACCCCCATCCCCCACCCACCAAAATCTAAAGTTCCTAAAATATCTTAGAAATTGAGCACCTTTTTTTTAAGGAGACGCAAATGTATTACGAAACACAAAAATATTTCAATATCCTCACTTTTAACCCTGAAGAGGCAATTCTACAAATAAATTGAGGGGGAGGAGGTGAGTCCTTAGGAAGTACCGACCGGTTCCTAAAAAAAAAGGTCCCTAAAACTAAAATTTACCCGACTGAATGGTGTCAAATGCCCGACTACACAACTATATTTGTCAAAAACCAACTATAAATTGAATATAAAATGCTGTTTTGGGAGTCTTCCCGCCCCCCCCCCCCCACCTACCACGCTTTTCCGTAAAATCGCCTCTGTCTGTACACCTTAAAAGTTCTCACAATTTTAGTTGATTGTCTTCTATACTTCATCTAAGGCTCATGAGTTCGCTTGATTTTATCTAGATATATTATTATTTTTGTTTAAAACAACTCTGTCACTCTGTATAACATATACACTGTATATACAACTCTGTATAACATATACACTGAAAAGCTACTCGTACCTGTAAATATATTAAATATATTTTGCCGTTTCATACAATTTGTAAAACTTTTATAAACACTCTTTTCTAGTTTTATAGAACAACTTCTCTTATTTGAAAAAAAAAATTGTAACACGTTAAAATGCTGAAATAGGCTGCTTTTTTGATCAATCAATCATCAATCAATAATATATATATTCTGAAAATAAATTTTCACGGCTATTTACAAATAGTATTGAATTACTAATCTTACTAATCTTACATACCTTAAAAAATAATTTATATATATATAATTAATCTTAGTAATAATAATATTAATAATAGTAATAATAATAATAATAACAATAATAATAAAGTAATTATAATAATTAAAATAAATCAGTATTACTTTCCATACATCAATCATGATCTCCGAGCCAACTTTATCATTAGCCAGCATTTCAAAGCTAATCTACAAGTACCACATGAGACATGAGTAGCTCATTCCTTGTCCTGATCACCAATTTCGATTCAAAAATACGCAGCATATTCGGTCCATAGCTTGGTCCTAGACAATAATTGATGTTTTGACCCAATGTAGTTACCACAAATATAACAAAACGAGTCTGCGCACAGTTTTCAGTTTCGAAATTATGATATAATTATGTTAAACAATATTTTCCGGACGCAAGTCAAAGTTTTTTTTTAAAAAAAAAAGGTTTCTTAAAAAATATATATAGGAAAGAATACATAATCAAAGCAAATTCTATAGTTATTATAGTAGCAGATAAACCTTTAAATCAAAATAACGAGATATGAAACTGTTATATTTGAAATCAGATTATTAAAGAGAATTGCTATAAAAAAGCTCTAAGAGAGACATATTTTTTTGTTGCGTTGCGTAATAAATAAATAAATATTTTTATTATTAGAGATTAAAAAATTGAAAATTTTCAAAAATATGATTAAAATTAGTTGATTTAAAGAAAATAGTGATTTAATTTATCAATTAGATTTAAAATTATCTAAATTATTTTACAACATAAATTGTATCTAAATCACAGTACTGATGTTTAACCACTTCATAAATTGCAGCCGTCGCGCAGCGGTTAGAGCAATAACTTTAGAACATAGAGATTCTTCAATTCCTGCTCCGGCTATATAAGCGACATTGGTAAGGAAAGTTTTTACTTTCTTGTTAAATATGTTTCTGCGGTGCTCCGTGACCGTCGAGTACTTTAATAACCACCACAAATAACAACAAAATATTTATTTAAAACAAGTCAAAAAATATTATACACTCTATATTAAATAAATTCTTTATTTATAAAAAATGCACAAATAAATTAAAATAATAATTTTCAAAATTTTTTTTTTTATCTTTAACCTCAATAAGCACTGAGTCATCTACTTTTTTTCGCATTAATTATTACTATTTCCCGCTTATTAAAACCATAAAACCTTTATAATGCAAAATTAGTATTTGCTAAGACAAAAAACACACGCAAAAAAAAAATATTAGGAATGTGTGACTTTCGTAAAAAATACATAATAATTTTCTAGAAGTTAAAAAAAATAATGATGTTCAAGGAAAGTTTTTTAAAAGTACTTAAACAAACTTTAAAAAATCCTAATCGCTGGACTTTATCAAAAATTTCTGCTGGCACCCATGACTAATTGTCATTGTATTATAAACAAACAATTAAAAAAATTCAATGACTAATTGTCATTGTATTATAAACAAACAGTTAAAATCATTCTCTTTAATTAATAAATTATATAAAAGTATTATACAATATATAAAATAAAATAACCATACAATTTACTTCGTCGCAAGTTCAGGATTCTGAAAATATTCTGCTAACATATTCCTGTGTTGATTACGAAAAAATAAATTTTTGTTGACCTTGTCACTTGGAAAATGGCTTGATAAACACTTTTTTGTAGCATAACGTTTAAAATTCATTTCATTATTTGAATAGGAACGGAATGCACTTTTGTAGGTAGAACTAGCACTATTTTGATTTGTAATGTCTTTTTTCCACTTTGCTTTCATGTTGTCAAGAAGTCCAAAGTTTGTCGCTCGTCCTAACAATGGAAAGCAATTATTTCAAAGTTTCTTTGCCTGTTCTTTGTCTGTGTCTTTTTTGTATTTGATAATATTTATGATGATCAAAAACAATAATGTTGATTATTTTTAGTAACTAAAACTATTTAATATATGTTAATAAGTTAGTGGAAAAATGGTAAGAAATAAATATTTATAAAGTATATTTTTATGACTTATCAGATAAGCTAAACCATACAAAATTAAAAAAACGAAAAATTTGAAACCCTAAAGTGTTTGTTGAATAATTTACATTTACATAATCACTGTGGACCAGAGATGAGTTAAGGTTTAATGGAGTGTCACTCAAGTGAAACCTTTTTTATTTAAGAGTACTTGTATTATAACAATAAAAAAGAGATTTTTTAAAATCCGAATAAATTGCTAAGGGTCATAAATGGGGCAAAAGGGTAAACACAAGGGGGGCATAAGCCCATTTATGTCTGCTAGTTGCAAATTAGAAAAAAAAAATTTTTAATCAAGAGTATTTGTTTCATAAAAATAGAAAATAGCGTTTTTAAAGTTAAAAAAAAATGCTATTTTCTATTTTTATGAAACAAATACTCTTGATTAAAAATTTTTTTTTTTTGTAATTTGCAACTAGCACATATAAATGGGCTTATGCCCCCATTGTGTTTACCCTTTTGCCCCATTTATGACCCTTAGCAATTTATTCGGATTTTAAAAAATCTCTTTTTTATTGTTATAATACAAATACTCTTAAATAAAAAAGGTTTCACTTGAGTGACACTCCATTAAACCTAAACTCATCTCTGGTCCACAGTGTAATCGATCAAATTTATAAAATATTCAGAATTTGGTTATAATGTCTAATAATAGTAATTGTAAACCTCTATGATAAGATTTATATCTAAACTTTGTAATGTCAAAGTAATTTTTGCTACCTCAACATACTTAAAAACCAAAAGAGGCTTCAAAAATCCATATTTACACCCAATATTATTGATATAGTAATAGTATTACAAACTGCTGTAACAACTATTGTTGCAGAGCATAAAGTTTAAAATTTATAATTTAACAGCCGTTAACAAATGTTTATCTAGTCTAGCTTTAAAAGAATTTACTGTCATAACAGAAACCACTTTTTCAGGTAAAGCATTCCAATGAGATATCACTCTGTTCATAAAAAAATTATGTCTCACGGTTATTTTTGCAAATTCTCTTTCAAATTTCATTGGATGACCTATTAGACTTTTGAAAGAAGCTTTATTAAGCTCTTTATACCACAATATCTTATCATTCCCAGTTGTTAATTTGAAAAACACAACGAGATCACCTTTTGTAGGTCTTGTTTCCAGAGTTTTGAGACCCAGCTTTGTCAATCTTTCAGTATAACTTAGATGTTTTAGTTCAGGTGCTAGCTTTATTGCTCGTCTTTGAATTTTTTCTAGGTCATTGATATTGTTTTTATTACTTGGACTCCACACTGGAGCTGCAAATTCCAGGTGTAGTCTAACCAGCGATGTGTATAATTGCCTAACCATTTTAGTGTTAAGATAAGTAAAGCATTTTCTTATTAAACATAAGATTCTTTGTGCTTTACTTGTAGCTACTTAAACCTGATGATTCCATTTCATATTGGATGAAACTATTACACCTAAATCTACTTCTTTTGTTGTTGTTTTTAGAAGAAAACTTTGATTGTCATGCTTCATAGTGTAGTTATAGTATATATTTTTTCTTCCAATGTGCATAACACTGCATTTATTTATGCTAAAGTCCATTAACCATACATTTGACCATTCAGTTAACAAATCAATGTCATTTTGCATATTAATTAATCTTTTATAACAGATATGATTTTGGTATCATCAGCGTATAGTTTTGCTGTTGAAGAGATACATTGGGGAAGATCATAACAGAAAAATAACAGAAAAAGAAGAGGACCCAATACAGAGCCATGTGGCACATCACTATAAACCTCACACTAATCTGATACAACTTCACCCATTACCACTCTTTGTTTTCTGTTTTTTAAAAAAGAATCAATCCAATTTAAAACATTGCCATTTATTCCATACTTAAAAATTTTATGTGTAAGTTGATAGTGAGGCACCTTATCAAATGCCTTTGCAAAATCTAGGAACAATATATCAACTGGATAACCCTTTTCAATTTCAGTTGTAATAATATTGAAAGTTTCTAATAGGTTTGATATGTACAAGTTTATACGCTAATGTTATGGTATTTGCATTTAAGAGAAAAAAAAATTATATCTACAAAAAGTGTAGCTCATTAAATAATGAAGAGAAACTGGTGTGTTTCTTAAGCAACTGAACAACATTGTATTATTTTATCATAAATAGAAAACAGATCTTATTTTATTATAAATAGAAATCAAATCTTAACTCTTTTAAAATGTAACATTGGAACAAAAACTTCAACAAACAACACAATGCCTTTTTCAAAAACAATTATCTGAAAAAATTAAATAATTTTTTGGTTTCTATCAATTTTGCGGAGCAAACATTTAAAGTTATGTTCTTTCTATTTATTTAATTCCTAATGGCATTGTTATTGTCAACTATAATTCCCAACTCAAAGATTTAAATGCTCTCTATAAGGTAAGCTTGTATACTTACTTCGTTGATAACTTAATTTAAATGGTTTTGTCTTTATTACTTAATTTTTGGCTTGGGCGCATGCCTTATATTCTGTTTTGTTACTTTTAAGTGTTTTAGAGTTCTATAACAAACATTATATCTATAAAACATTAATGTCTATAAAACTTTTACATCTATAAAATAATAATGTCTATAAAACATTAATGTCTCTAAAAGCTTAAGTTTTTGTTAAAGAAAAATAAAATAACAAGCATAGTTCGATAAAAATCCCACCAACTTTTAGTCCCTACAACTTTAAGTGGTATAAAAATTTTAATACTTATGATGACAACCACTAACAAAATAAAATTGAAACATTTTTATTTCTTATGTTGAGAACTTCAAAATCTTTTTGTAAAACAACTTTTTAATCAACTTTTTCTAAATTCAGAAAAAAATTAAGCTTTTTTTAATCAATACCACATTCTGTTACCTTGTAAAGGTCTATCACTTTTTTCAGGCTCCCAAGAGCAGGTTTTTCCATCCCAAGATCGAAGTTTAGGTAATTTGGATTCATGCTCTTCTCGATTATTTATACATTGATCATACCAAGAAATCATATTATTAGAATAGCTATTTCCACGGTGAGAAAAGATTAATTCTTTTGGTAGTCCCTAATATAACAATATGTAAAACAATTAGAAGAAATAAAATATTATTATCAAAAATATAAACTAAAACTTAATCTTTTAATTGATTTTTCTAAGAAAAGTAATTTGTATCAAGTTTAAGTTTAACTGAAAAACAATAATACATCATTTCGAATTGAAGCAATTTGTCTTGCTTTATTCTCTGGTAAAAAGTTAGAATATTTTTTGAAATCAGCTTGATGTGTACTCAGTTCAAATGGCTTTTCGGATCTATGAAACTAAAAAACAAATAAATAAATTAACAACAATAATAATAGTATGTATATATTATAAGTAAATAAATAAATAAATATACACACACAGATATAGAATAAATCAAATAAATACATTATAAATCATGAATAGCTTTTATGTCTATTTATTCACAGTCAAATAAATTTAAACTTTAAGTATCATATTTTGAGGATAATTCATAAAATAATTTTGATTAGTTTAAATTTTACTAATTAAAAGTTAAAAAATAAAAATGAACAACATGTTTATGTTGTAAATTAAAAAAAAAAATTATTTACTACACTAGAAAATAAATCATTTAAAATGATGTTGATATCATACAACAAAATTGAAATAACAAAACTGTAAATAGATAAATGTGTTTGTATAACTAAATATAACATAAAATTTAGGTAAAGTTTTATATAACAGCTGAAGCAACAAGCAAATATTCCTTGCCTAACAATTTGTTATATAAGAAACTTGAGAAATTGAAAATGCAAGATTTTGTGGCATTGGAAAGAAGCAAAGGAGTTTTTAAATTATACTCAGCAAACTTGAATTCTAAACTAATTATATATATATATATATGTATATATATATATATATATATATATATATATATATATATATATATATATATATATATATATATATATATATATATATATATATATATATGAGAACAATTTTAAATATATTCTACAAAATATAACCCTTTGCCCCATTTGTGACCCTTAGCATTTTTTTTTAACTTTAAAAACCCTATTTTTTATTTTTATGAAACAAATACTCTTGATTAAAATTTTTTTTTTTGTAATTTGCAACTAGCACACATAAATGGGCTTATGCCCCCCTTGTGTTTACCCTTTTGCCCCATTTATGACCCTTAGCAATTTATTCGGATTTTAAAAAATCTCTTTTTTTATTGTTATAATACAAATACTCTTAAATAAAAAAGGTTTCACTTGAGTGACACTCCATTAAACCTAAACTCATCTCTGGTCCATAGTGAAGCCAAAACAGCGATTTATTAAATTTACAAGACGTTGAGATCACTGATGAATTATTAGGCTGCATAAGTATAGCACAAACAATTCAAAAGGTCCGGAGAATTGTACAAATGTTTCGTAAATCACCACTCAAAAATAAAATTTTACAAAAATACGTAAAAATTACATACAATAAAGAACTCAAGTTAATACAAGATGTAAAAACAAGGTGGAATAACCTTCTTGCAATGTTAGAGCAATTTATTGCATTAAAAACATGTATATTAAAAGCATTAATAGATTTTAAACACAGCAATAATAACAATATTTCGGAAGAGGAATATTTAGTGGTGCAGACTGTAGTAACGACGTTACAACCAATTAAATTGGGAATTGAAAGACTTGGCCAATGCAAGACATCCCTACCTGATGCAGAGGGTGTATTAGTGTTTATATTTGATGTTTTGCGCAAAGATAAAGATTGTTTTGTGCAACAGAGAATTTTTGAAAGACGGAATAAAAATATAATTGGCTTGCTAAAATATTTAAATAATCAATCAAATTATAAACACGAATCGAACACAGATTCTGTATTATTGTTGCCTTCCAAATCAGTCCTTCAAGCTACAGCTACAAAGTTATTTTCTAAGCTTTTTATTGATGATATTGATGGTTGTGGAAATTACGATGAAATTGAAGAATTAGAACGCAGTAATGACGAGACTGAAAAGTGGATTATGGCCGAACCAAACTTGAAGACAACATCTGAATCAACACTTCATCAAAAATTGGAAGCTGCCATTATGAACGTTAATCGAATTTAGAGTCCAGAAGATGTGTTATACGACATTAAAAATATTACAAAAGAAATGGATATTTTTGATGCAATGAAAAAGCGTACAAATAATTTAGACAAATTATATAATGCTCTCTTAACTCTCCTACCGACTTCAATCGTATCAGAAAGAGCTTTCTCTGGTCTTTTTATTTCGAAAATTTGGTCATTGTTAAGTGATAGCACTATTGACAATTTATGTTTTTTAAAAAATTATTTTAAAAGTTAATATATATAAAATATAATGTTATTGAAGCTTATATTTGTTTTATTTTGAGAGTCTTAGTTTCTAAGAATTATTTTGTCTTTATTTTCTTTTTAAAAGTAATAGTATTTAAACATCTTTTTTTTGTATTTTTTTGAACTTACACATCCCCCCCCCCCCTAACTAGTTTGATAAATTCTTACTTGTTACCTAAACACGAGATCCGGGTATTTCAAAAAACTGCTCATTTTTGCCTTGCACAAATGGTTTAAGAGAACAGTTTTTGTCAACAACTGTACATCATCCGAAATGATGCATTTTTTCTTTCAGGTGTAAAATGCATATAAAAAGGTCATCAAATGTACTGTCTTACTTTATTTAAATGCATTTATCAAAAGGTTTCAACCACTTTTTTTTAATTAAAAAATGCATGCTTTATACACTAGGTTAACTTATGCCATAAAATATTGATAATCTTTTTCTCTGTCACTTTCTTTAGGCTTTTTTAATATACCTTTGACTTTAAGCGATAGAAATTTTTCATTTAAACAGTCTTTTAAAACTTCCATGGTAGAGTGAAGAAGGCTAATATCTTCTAAAACTGACACTTCTTCCCTTTCAATTGCTGCAATATTTACTTGAAAGAGAAACATCAAGGAATGCAAAAACCAAAGATAAGCTTCTGAAAATTTATTCTCAAAAATATTTTTATCGTAACAGGTGGTTGATCTACAGAAAAAAAAATATTTTCAAAACATCAAATAACCTCAGCAATCTTTCAATAGCTGGAAACAAACTTAACCATCTATTTTTAGAGTGATAAAGTAGTTGATAATAACTAATGCTCTCAAATTTACATAAATCTTTTAAAACTTCTGTTCTAACTGTGTACATAGAAAAAATAATTGAATATTTTCAAGACAACAGTTTCAATAGCAATAATCTCATTAAATATGAGAACACATTTTTGCTTATTTTTCTATTAATGCCTCCAAAATTTACATTATCATTGTCTCCAGCAAAAACAACACACTTAGACACCAATTCATATGTTTGGAGTGTTTCAGAGGTTTCATTTGGTGTGTTATCTAATTTAAGAACTTTAGTTTGGATACCACCTGCCTTCCAGTAAAAATATTGAATAACAATCTGGAGTTTTTTCTGCGAAACGTGATTGCTAGCATCTATGGAAAGACCGAAACATGAAATGCTATCTAATGATTTCACCAGTTGATTAACAGTGTGGAGCCTATTACCAGGTTTATGATTGTCTCAGTTTTTGTTTTTGAACATGCAATATTTTTTACAATTGCCGAAATTTTCATAATAATTTGTGCATTAAACCAGCTGTGCATGCCATCTCATTATAAGACTGATGATGACAAACTGTATGAAATGTTAAAGTTGCTTCAGCTGCATGGGCTATTTGCAATATCTTTGACTTTTTAGGTGAAAAAAAGTTTGTCAACTTATTTGATGATGCTGACACTTTGATTAGGTTTTTATGTTTCTCACTGTTAAGATAGCGCTCTAAGTCAGTAGCTCCTTTGTTAGCGATGGACAAGTAACTATCACAAATCATAGTACTTGAAAACTTCCATTTTCTCTTTGTAGAAATTGAAATTATTTTTTAAAAAAAGGTGAAATTCAATTTAAGTGCTGTTGTTGCTATAGGTGCAAAAACTGACATAGAAAAAAAGTAGATAACTTTTTTTTTAGGTACACAATTGATTTGGCCAGGAAGCAAAGAAAGGAAACAGGAGCACTTACATTTAAACAAAACAAGAAGTTTTGTTTAAAAGTCGTCCAAAAATGAATATGACCTTGCAAAACACTTCCTAAGTTATACCTTTACATCAGGACTTATTCAAGATATAGCTTATAGGACAAGCAAAATTACTTTACCCGATGGACATCAACAGGTATATTATTTACATACAACTTATTTTTCTAGCATGCCAAATTCAGGTATTTGAAATATAATGTGTTGATTTCTGATGCCATTTGCAAATCAATCATATTGTATGCTTTGACACAGCTTCTTATGCCTTGTTTTTAAGAATGAGTCTTTAAAATATCAATAAATTATTCTTTATTTTAAATATTTATTTTCATTCCATAGATACTACCGAAATCTGTTCAAACAATGGCAAAGTGGCAAAGCATAAACTCGTATTAAAACTATTGAAAATCAATAAACGAATCTGTTTTATCAAATTCATTGCTTTGGAAAATTCATAAATCAATTAAACCTAGCCAACAGCATTCACTGATGATACGATATGTAAAGGCATAAACGGGTTTATTTCTCTAATGAAATGTGTTTCCATAGCGTCCACAGATGGAAACACAACAAAAGATACAAAAAACTGTTTAGAAAAAGCAGAGATATTTAAAGACTATGTATGGTTTACATAGCATAGAAAAGTTAAACATTGCTTCACACTGTATCAGCTGTGCTTTGTGTTTCTAAAGATAACGACTTTACTAATTTGCCAAAACGTTGTTTTATATTTGCAAGGTGAAAGGCATATGCCTCTTAAGATACAATTACAATGAGCCACAAAAAGGTAAAGACCAATGTGATCGTGAAAGTGCTGTTGCTAAGAGATAAATTAATTCATATATCTATGCTGGTAATAATTGTACTTCAGCCCAGGATATTAAAAAAAGATTTAGTTTTTGGTTCAAAAAAATTCAAAAGTATCAGTGGTTGAAATTACAAGTTAAAATCAGTTAATGATAGCAAGATAATGAATATCAGTTCAATCCATTCAATTTCATATAATGATAATGGAATGACGCTATGGCAATACTTTAATTGTGGTAAAGATATAACAGTTCAATTTTCAGGATTAGAATTCGTTTCTGGTTTAACAGAGATTTTAATGGTGGAGAAATTTTTAGAGCAAATAGAAATCAAAAGAAACAAAAAGATAACACTGGTGTCTACTGCAGTGAGTCTTTGTGTCT